GAGCATCCCTGAGTTTGCTTGAGGCATCCCTGCCACCACCAAGAAGCTACTAAACTTGTGAAATCTTAAAGTAACAATGTCTCCTATTTATTTTAGGCATATTCTTTTATTGAATATTAGCCATCTCAAGTAATTGGGGCTAAATAAGATTCAACATAAGAGAAGAAAAGGGGCAGCCTGGAGAGAATAAATAGTTATACAAAGGATGTCCAGGGGAAAGGGAAAGGATAGTTTAGCAGGAGACCAGTACATGAAAAATGGGGTCTATTATGACCAAGGCTGAAGCACAGGTTGAAAATGCTGAGCTTGGAATCAATCAGCTCCAAGTTTGAATACAAGCTCTGTGATCTAGCACAAGAAACCTAACTTCTCAGTCCCAGATTTCACTTGCATGTATAATATCTACCTTACAGAGTTGTGACTATGTAAGGATTCAATTACAAGACACATAGTAAGTGGTAATATTAAAGAAAGAACAAAGGAAAAGAGGAAGGAAGGAAGGAAGGAAAGAAGGAAGGAAGGAAGGAAGGAAGGAAGGAAGGAAGGAAGGAAGGAAGGAATTTTTGAAAGGTTGTCCATATCACAGGAAGCTTTGAAAGATAGACTCACTTAAAATAACTTAGAGATCAAAGAAAATTAAAAATAAGAAACTGAGTTTACTGGGAAATGAATTGTCAGGACAGAATAAATGTAGCAAAGTAAGCAATGTTAAAATGCCACAGTGGTATGGTGTTGCCAATGCCAATCTTGTTTACTGAAATTTCTAAACTCATGAAAAGTTATGTGTCTATGGCGACTGTTAGTACAGTAATGGTCTCCTGGTTATTGTAGCTGCACTATTTTTCTGAGTATGAATGCATTATTCTTGAGTCCTCAACTATATTACAAGTTATCTGAAGACTGCTATGGTAAGCACACTTCCATGTCAAAGTGTTCAGACCCCATCACAGAAGCCAGGGAACAAAGGTGCAACCACCCCTTGAACCAAGGTGCTGATCCTGTGACAGATGTACCTATGTCATTCCCTCAACCATGGACACTACATGACTGCTGTGACAATGTCCCTGACACTTCCTGGTGTCAAAGTACCAGGCACATAGCACATCTTGCATTTACCTTCCCGCCCTTTATCTGCCCTGAGCATCTCAGCAACATGTGCTCAACGGGGCAGTTTCCGTAGGTCACAAACTCATGGCATGAAGAATCTTCTTTGAGAGATGCCAGAGAGGTAATACTGGGATTAAAGTGCTGGCACTGCATACCACCAACCTTTGTTCAATTTCCAGCATTGCCTCCAGTTCCCTTATTTCCTCTAGGAGTGATCCTTAAGTGAGGAGTAAGCCCTGAGCACCACTGGGTGTGGCCGAAATCCCCTTACCAGAAAAAAAAAAGATAACGACACATAAATACCGAGGAGCTGCATCATCCTAGATCATCCATCTGCTCCGTCATCTACATCCATGGTGTCACCGAAGCCCAGTAATGGCCATGTAGGGCTAGAGTGATAGTATAGTGGGTAGGGCCTTTGCCTTGCATGTGGCTGACCCAGGTTCGATCTCTGGCATCCCATATGGTCCCCTGAGCACCACCAGAACTAATTCCTGAGTGGAGAGCCAGGAGTAAGCCCTGAGCATCACTGGGTGTGATCCAAAAACCAAAAACAACGCACATAATAATAATAATGACTGTGTAGAATGTCCTCCTCATTTTAAAGGTAAAGGAACAAATGGATCTGGAAGCCTCTGTCCACGTCATGCATTAATCTGGAGGAGACTGCCTACCATAGCAGTCAGCAACACCAAGGGGATGGGCGCTGGTAAGGGGTGGGGGAGCTTTTCTGGACTTCACCCAGACTGACAGAATCTGCTTTTACAAACTGCGGGCCACACCCTGGCTGAGATCCAGCACACTCTAAAACTAGTCAAGTGCACTTAGCACTCAATGAATTCAAGGTATTCCTGAGATTCTGGTGTGGGTTGAGTTCTTATCATTCAAAAGTATACAGTTCAGTTTCTGACCTGACCATAGTCCCTACAGAGGAAGTAGCATTAGTCATAGGAGGCAGGGCCTCAGCAGGCCATCTAGGAGCAGAGAAGGTGGGAGACAATGGCATGAGCCCATTCATCTTTCTCAGTCTGGCACATAGAGAACACTCAATAAATATTTGTTTAACAGACAAATAAATGAAAGGAGGACTAGCTACCTCCAGCTGGTAGCAATTCTACTCTCCCTAAATTCTCTGCCTTGCATCTGTACTTAAAAAGTGTCATATTTGCCACACTCTACCTTGCATTCCTGCTGTCTGAAACCAGGAAAGTGTTTGGAGATGGACAACCTGCATCTCCCCCCACCCCCCCAAATCACAGGGCCCAGATGCCAGGCTAACAAAGTGGAAAAGTATCTGACTTGATCCTAGCTAGGACCTGATTTAACACGTGGGGTATGGCTGGTCCTTAAGCATAAGTTCCCCAAACTTCCCAGCTTCCCGGCATAAAGGTGGATTGTTTAGAGCAGCAACAGAAAGACCTCTGTATGAACTTCAGAAGGAATCTGGGGGACAACACTGGAGGCAGGTTTCCTGAAGATTCTCCTGGGAGAATCACAAAGAGCAGATACTTGGGTGGTGGGTGTAAGGAGAGAGATCAGGCTACGTCTAGCTGTGCTCAAGACTTGCTCCTGGTTCTGTGCTCTTAGGGACCATATGGGGAGCTGAGGATCAAATCCAGGTAGACCTCTTGCAAGGCAAGCACCTCACCAGTTGTAGAGTTTCTTGGGTCTCACATCAAATAAAGTGCACGATGCTTGCTTGAAAATAACTTGAAAAGACACTTGAAAATAAAGCATAGCAATGAATAAAAGATGCTCTGGTTTAGTTTCATTCTCTTGCAGTACACTATAGAAGTATAGGAGATCTGAGAATCACAATTATGCTTAGGAACGCCCCAATATTTCACAGATAGCTTCAGAGATCTGCAACAAATGTGTTCCTTCAAAAAGGACTCAGACCTGATGTGGACACCTAAGATGGGAAACGGGAAAGGTAAAGCCTTCTGGATCTGAGCCTTCCTCCCGTCACTTCACCAAGTCAGTCCCTTCCCCGTTCTTGGGGTCACGGCCTGCCTGGTGTCTGAGTGGCCCTCAAATATGAGGGGGTGTCTTATTTTCCCTGGTTTCACACTTCAGCATCCCACTGAATCCTCTTACCCTGGGAGGCTCAAAGGTTCCCTTCTGGGTTGTACTGAGCAAGGTTCAAGTGGTGTGATGTGCTCTGGGACACCAGAGGAGCAGACCACACAACAGACACTTAACATGTGCAACCAGGGAAGCAAGGGGGCATCATCTCCGGGCGTGTAACTGCTCCAGAGTGTGTAATTGCTCCAGACTTTACTTGGCTAATGATTCTCTGCTCCACACCACTCTAGCCTTGGCACTTATGGACTTCTCTAGAACTGGAGTGATGACAGAGGTGGTGGCAGAGGACACAAGACAGAAGATGTTATTCAAATGCATCAACGATATCTGCAGACTCTGGTCCATTCACCAGGTGATAGATTTCTGCCGCGGCTGGGGGGTCTGGTCCGCCCACGCACCCCGCAAACTCCACCACCACAGGCACATGAATATACACAGGCTGAGGAGAAAGCAGCATTGTGTGAGCCCTGAAAAGAGAGACAAGGTGGCCTGGGCAAGCTGCAGAAAGTCCAAAGAAAATTTACATAAACAGAAATAGAAAATCGCTTGGACTTATTGAGAGGTGTATTTAAGAAGAAAAAAAATATGTTGATGATTTTAAATGAAGGATTGTTTTTGAAACTGCCGTGGGAAACGGGCAAAGGAGCCCCGTCCCCCCTTGCCTGGAGGGACTGGTCCAGGGGCTCGGCGAGGGCTTGGAGCAGGGGTGGGGATCGTGGAACAGGAGTGACCCGGGTATTTCTGAGAGCGTGGCTCCCCCTCTCCACTCCCCAGCCGCCCCGCGTCACTGGAAACGAGCTGAGAGGCTTCCGGGGACGCGGGTAACGCCTGGAGCCCGCAGCGCTGGGCCGGAGCGGGGAGGTTGGGGAATTGGAGGGAAATATTCCTCCGGGCTTCACCGGACCCAGGACCCAGCCAGGCTTTGGCCTCAGCAGACGCACCCTTCGTCCATCGCAAACAGTTCCGACTCTAACCACCAGTTGAAAAGTTGGGGTCACCCCCACGGGACCAGCCGGTTCCGTTTACACTTGCAAACTTTTCCTGGTCTTTTTTGCACAATTGAAATAAAAGGGGTGGGAGTATATTCATTTTTTCTTCCAACTGCAGGCGCGAGGCCGAGGCTGAAGGGAAGCAAGCAAGCAGTCCGGAAAGTTGGGGAGAGGCCCCGGGGGTGGGGGTTGGGGGCGGAGGGAAGCGCGGCCTGGAAGTGGCCCGAAGGTCAGCGCGCACGGCAGAACGCGGGGGTCCCCGCCCCGAGACGCGGGGGTCCGCGCTGAGAAGCGCGCTCTGGCGCGCGCGAGCAGCGGTCGGGGGTCCCGGGCCTGAGGTGCCATGGGGGAGCCGAGCCGTGCGATGGGCAGGACCCCGCTTCCCGCTCCCGCCCCGGACGAAGAAGGCGAGGCGCGGCCGGGGAGCACACTGGCCCGGGGATGCCCCCGAGGTCCCCCCATCCACACACCCAGTCCCAGTCGAGGACTAAGGTGCGGCCCCGGCGCATCCCCGCGGAGCCCCTGACCCACAGCGCAGTAACTTGGGCAACGGCGGGTCCCGGGTGCCCCCTCTCACCCTCTCCACCGGCAGCGGCGGCGGGGCCCGGGGTCAGTGGAGCCCCCCGGAATCGCCGCTGCCCGGGGCCCCGAGGTGCGCCCCTCTCGCGGCCCCGACGTCCCCGCCTGCCTGCCCCGCAGCATCCCGCCGTCGAGCCCACCCCTCCCGGGGGTCCCCGGCATACTCGGGGGCGGGGGTCTCCCCAGGTACTGCCCCGCACCCGGGGTCCCCCGTGGCCCCCGCGGCGGCGCGGCGCTTACCGCGCAGCGGCTCCCGGCGGCTGCAGGATCCCGCGGCGCGCTGGGCATTTTTTTTTTCTTCTTGGGAAACTTCTCCCGGGTCCGTAGGGCTGAACCGAGCGGGCAGGAAAAGCGCTGGGCGCCGGGAGGCTGCGACCATCCGGGAACTTTGCTGCGAAGTGAGCCCTCCCCCTCGGCTCCCCGTCCCCCCCTGCCGCCCCGCCACACGTGGAAGCGCCGCGGGCCCTCGGCGCTCTCCCGCCCGCTCCGGGGCGCGCCCCCAGCCGCCGGCCCCCCCAGGAACGTGGCTGGGGCGGGTCTGGGGCTGGCGTCCCCAGCGCTCTGGGGGTGGTGGGGGGCGCCGCCCTGTGGGGGCCGGGACCCGCAGAGGAGCAGCAACAGGATAAGTGTCCAACCCAGTCCCTTTCCTGCAGTCTCCTCTCCTGCACCCCGAAGGGCAGCTTTGTCCCTTTTAAAGGCCAGATGCATTTAAAAAGTGAAGTCTGAAGAGGGGTGGAACCCACGGAGAAGACTGTACTATCTTACAGCAGGTAAGATGGAACCCTCGGTCCATCCGCCACCGTTTGCAGGACCCTCTCCCCGCTCTTCCCCGGGAAAGAGGCAACCCCTGACAGCCTTGGATTGAGAGCCTTTGGTCAAGTTATAACGCCCCTGGGAATGACTTTCCATCAGCCACTACGGTTTCAAAACGCCCTGGGGTCACCCACAGATTTGGGCATTGGAAAAAGCAGAGTCTCTTTCTCCCTTGCACGCTCTGAGAGCTAACCGCAGGCCCCCTGTAGAAAAGTCTAGGGTTCTCTTGGGGGAGAAGGCAGTTGGGATATAGAAAAAAGAAAAAAAAAACCACTAGGGCAATGATAGTTGAAAATGATCACTCTGGATAAGAACTTTGAGCTGATAGTAGGTAAAGGAACAAAAATAGCCTTTCAGTATCTGTATAGCAAACCATAATGCCCAGAAGGGGAAAGAGAGAGAGAAGTGCTTGCCATGGGGCGGGGGTGGGGATACACATGGGAGGGAAACTGGGGTCGCTGGTGGTGGGAAATGTACACTGGTGAAGAGATGGGTGTTGGAACATTGTATGACTGAAACCTCAGCATGAACAGCTTTGTAATTGTATATCCCATCGAACTCAATTAAAAAAATTCTTAATAGAAAAAAAGAAAAAAGAAGTCAGCACTCAAACAAGAAACCTGGGTTATTAGAACATGGGTCAGAAAAGAACCACACACACAAAAAAAATGAGGATTGGGGCTGGAGCAATAGCACAGCAGGTAGGGCGTTTGCCTTGCACGTGACCAACCCGAGTTGATTCCCAGCATCCCATATGGTTCCCTGAGCACTGCCAGGGGTGATTCCTGAGTGCAGAGCCAGGAGTAACCTCTGTGCATCGCTGGGTGTGACCCAAAAAGCAAAATTAAATAAATAAATAAAAATAAAATAAATGAGGATCTCTGTAACCTTTTAACTGTATAGTTAGAATATCAAGACTGTGTATGGTAGTGTATCAGGGCAGCACTTGAGAATCACTCCCCAAAACTGAGGAACTGACAACCCCTATTCCATACTGCTGCACCATGTGTTAGGTATGCAGTAATAGATACAAACCTTACTGGACAGAAATTGAGCAGCCTAGACAAATTTCCCACTCACACACTTTTGCTCCTGAATGTATCCATCTTGGAAAGGTTGATTCCAAGTCTGGTTTCTATGGCAAGTTGAACAAGTCATGCTCTATAAAATAAAGACAACTGAGTTCATGTATCTATACATTACTCCAGACATGAAAACAATCCACAACACTTGTCACAATCACACACGGGAACTTCCTGGATTCCTTCTAGGTCTCTGGGTTGCTTTTCATTTTTTCCCTTTTCTGCTTCATGTAAGGATAACAGTTGCTCTTACCTAACATAAGTGCTGTGAAAACTTACGTGCTAAGCCCTTTGAAAATGGACAGTAATGGCATACATGAAGTGTGGGAGTGGTTCATTTTATCTCTCCACTTCCCTAGATTGATGTTGTGACCTGGGACACACACACACACTTGGTTGTGGTGCTCTGTACTTTTGAGTTGTGGTGCTTGTGCGCACTTTAATTGCAGTGCTTGCTGGGGGTTGCACCGTTAGCTGTGGCTCTGGGAATCACAGACATGCCACGAGGATAGCTTTTGGCATCTCTTGAGCCAGAGATCAAACTCAAGGCAGATGCTTTACCAAGACAAACCATCCTCCAAGCCCTTTATTTTTTCTTCAGTTTTTCAAGTCCTGCAGAACTCCAGGATAATTATTGATAATTATTGGAATTGGAGAATTATTGAATCAGACTATTATTGAATAAGAATTCTGAATTTATGTATTTCAAATGTCTATGAAACTTAATTTTTGCATTAGTATGCCCAAAGAAGGAAAATTTCCCCTTCTCATCACTTTACCATTGCAAGACAAACAAAAATAAGGTGTGAATTGTCCCCCAGTTTTAAATCCCCCATAAGAATAGCCATCCTGGATGTCACGGATACTTAGCTCTCTTAGCTCAGAGCCCAACAGTTCACTCAATTAAGTCAAAACTTTAATAGTATTTTACCAGTTGCAATTCTCTGCTTTCAGAGGGTGGTCTAAGATTGCCCTAAATGTTAACATATGGGGGAAGCTGAGTGAGTGAATATGGACACATATACCTACCGACTAACATAAAAATCAAAGTGTCTCGTTCCCTAAATCTAGAAAATTGACCTTCTAAAGAAATTACATTCTTATGACCAACTTATTTTATAACCAGAAATGTATATACATATTGACCCCTTTCATCCATTTCACCCACCCACTTTATCCATTTCATCCCCACCTCTCCACCTGGCAAACACCAATCTGTTCCCTGCATTGATAATCCCCTCACTTTGTTTTAAATTAAGACTCTACATATATGTTTTTAGTCCATACAGTATATGTTTTTCTCTGTGGTAATTATTTCACGTAGCATAATGCCCTCAAGGAAGGTCACCCAAATTGTCCCAAATGGCAAACTGCTATTCTTTCTCTGCTGGGGGTCTCCCATTCAATGTCCAGGGTACCTGGGACTCTTACCAGTGATCCTCTACCTGACCATTGTGGGCCTGAAGGTTCTAATGTTGGAGACTGCGCAGGCAATGCTGCTTTGGGATCAGTGGTGCTGGGGGCCACTAGGACCCCACCATGACAGTGCTTGGGTAGTCATGTGGTATGTGGGATCAAACTCAGACATGCAAGGTATGCTGGGGGCTGTTTATGGTGATACTTGGCCAACTGGTATTGGACATTTCAATGCTAGAGCCCAACAATGCAGCATTGCTTGGGCCTAGCAGTGCTGGAGACTACCAAGGCCACCCTGGGGGTGCTCAGGGGACATATGGTACTGGAGAATCAAGTTCGGGGTCTTGTGCATATAAAGCATGAGCCTCTGACTTGAACTAACTTCCTAACCCTGATTTCATTCATTCTCATTTTTTTTCTGCCTAGATAATAATGTGTATCTATAGTCACACATGACTCACTGATGGGATGCCTCCCAAGAAATGGGTCATTAGATACGGGACCAAGAGGGCAGAAATGAAGCAAAAGTGAGTGTTCCTGGGATATTTACACACACACACACACACACACACACACAAATAACTCAAAAGCAAAATTAAAGGAATAAGAGAGATAGTACAGCAGGTAAGATGCTTGTCGTGCATACTACCAACCTGGGTTTTATCCCCAGCACCACATATGGTCCCCCAAGTTCCACCAGGAGTGATTCCTGAGCACAAAATTGGAAGTAAACCCTGAGCACAGCCAGGTGTGACCCCTAAGCCCCCCAAAAGCTGCAGCAGCAGCAACAACAACATACTTAACACAGTTAAATACAGTTTCTGTGCTGAATTCTGCTGAGGAAACGCACTGGATAACCTAGCCACCCTCTCCAGAAAATTCTCCACTGTGGGTTAGTACTTAGACTTTGCATATGGGAGGCCATGGTTTGATCTTCAGTAGCTCAGGGAAGCCTGAGCACTGCTGCCCCCTCCAACACTGAGCTGGGAGCAGCTTCTGAGCACTGCCATGACTGACTTTAAAGCTCAGGAACACAGGTCACAGGAGCAGCTGGGGTAGAGCAGAGACCACCAAAACTCTGAGCTCTGCTGTGGGGGTAAGGGAGGGGCTAGAGGAAAACCTGAACTCTACCCTTAAAATTGTGCTTTCATGAAACCTGACTTCTGGGGCCCAAGAGATAGCACAGTGGGTCAGGCACTTGCCTTACATGTAGCTGACCTGGGTTCAATGCTCAGCACTACATCTGATCCCCCCCACAAGCTCAGCCAGGACAGAGCACAGTCAGGTATGACCCAAAAATCCATTAATTGATTGATTAATTAATTATTAAAAATTTATTATTTATCTGGGGCCAGAGAGATAGTACAGTGGGTAAGGCAGGCACATGCCCAGTGCAAGTTTGATCCCCAGCACCCCATGCAGTTTCCCAAGCACCACCAGGAGTAATCCCTGAGCACAGAGCCAGGAGTAGGGGGCTGGATCGATAGCAGCAGGTAGTGCATTTGCCTTGCAAGCAGCCAACATGGCCGACCCAAGTTCAGTTCCTTCCTTCCTCTCGGAGAGCCCGGCAAGCTACTGAGAGTATCTCGCCCGCACAGCAAAGTCTGGCAAGCTACCCGTGACATATTTGATATGCCAAAAACACAGTAACAACAAGTCTCACAATGTTACTGGGCCTACTCGAGCAAATCGATGAACAGGAGAACAGTGACAGTGACAGTATAAACTTTATACTGTTTTACAAAACATCTATACCTACAGAGTCAGGAGTAGGCCCTGAGCACAGTTGTGTGTGGATGCTCCCCTCCCCATGGATGAAACAAAAACAAAAACAAAGCTATCTTAAAAAAAAAAAAAACCAAAACAGCAGAAATAACAACACTCAAAACCTGATCTGTAGGTAAGAACTAAACCAGGCCAGATACATCGGGCCCATAGCAGGCCCAAAGTCAGTGGCTCTTTGTAAGACAGCTGGGAACGGCCAGTTAAATGGAAGTGGCCTGAGGGGTAGTTCTGAGGTTCCCAGGTCCGGGTGGAGCTGTAGTGACACCTGCTTACCCCTGGGGAAATAGACCAGCCCTCTCAGTATCAACATTGGCTGGCTGTAGGCAGCAGAATAAAGGTCCAGAGTCTAAAGAGCATGCAGAGACAAGGAGGGCCCAGACCTTTA